TTCACAGTCTCTGTGTAATGAAAAAGTGAAGGTCTTACCTGAAGTCCTGGCTAGAATAGTGCATGAGGCTGGACCATCTCAGCTAGCTACCTTGAACTGACTCTGAGCAGTTGGCAATCCAGAGCTGATCTTTGGGTGGTGTTTGTCAGCTTAGTGGCACTACCACAGTCCAGGTGGAATCGTTATGGGGACTCACCATCCTTTCGGAGACACAAAGGTCACTGTTAGGAATGGTCACAGTTCACTGCAGAAAACTTAGGTATTTTTTTTTCTATGTCATATGCTGCCAATCTCAGGGAAGTTAAAATACCACAATTTGTGGAGTGCATTCAGAGTACACAAACCTAATTCCTAATTACATGATAGAGACTCAAACCCAGAATCATGGACAGGGAGCTACATGAAGTCTTTCTCTAGGATTAGTTAATACTGTATATAACCATTAGTATCATAACAGAAAGTTTTATATATACATATATATATATCTTAAAAATTAAGATAATATTTATATCTTAACAAAAATTTTAGAGTCAAAATAAAACCAAAGGATTATGAGATTAGTGGCAATAGAACAATCCCTTAATTTTGGTTTTCCTTCTGTGCCCTATCAAGACTGTAGAATAACAGGTAAACACACAAGCACGCCTCACTCCGAGCAGCACTGAATCAAGTCTGAGCCCCTCGATTTGTCTCCGTTTCCTTTCTACCCACTCCTAGGTGACTTGACGTAAGGTAAGGCTGAATCTTGTGCCGTTCTGCCTCTGGTTTCTCACGTCTGTCTTCTTCACAAAGTGCAGTCTGTGTAACTAACTATACTAAAGAACGTAACTCCTCAACATCCCTTGACAGCTGTTGACTAGCAATGGGCATGTGGTTGTAGTAGCTCTGCCCCCAAATAACTCAAGGTATGCCAGAGAGCACCTCTTCGAAGGCTCATGGACTCTTCCTGAATAAATATTTAGATACGTAAATATTTAACGGGAAACTTGGCGCAGAGACATGAAGAGTTGGTACCTTAGCTCCCTTTCTCAGAAGAGAGAGTATAACCCTTACATTAAACCTCATTGAAGTGGAAAACAGAGACATCAAGGTCTAAGTTTTCAGGCACTAAAAGAAATACGTACCCTCCCAAGTATCATTTTTATATAATTTCAAATCTCTGAATGCTTTATTGTTGCTTAAATATCCACTGTACATAAACTTCAGGTTCACAAATATTTACCATGACTCATACATATATTTGTTGAGATATTAGATTTCTGTGTTTCTGCTTGCCTTAATATACTAAAATCTCATTTCTAAAGTGTGTCTATTGCTTCCCAGGAACTGGTCGTATATTCAGGTTTTCAATCAACTGGTTTCCTTGGTGGGATTGACTATAAATCTGTCGACATATATTGATGACGGTTCCTCATTTTCTTGCCCAGAGATCATTTCTTCTACTCATTTATCTTCAATTTCTCTTTCTTACTTGACGGTATCACACAAGCAACAAAACAGAGCCCTCTAAGCTCGCAAGAGCTGGAATAAACTAATTAGCAGACTTTATGATGGAGACTGGTCCCCTCCCATGTTCCGCTGCTTAGACAGGAAACAGGAAAAAGCCAGCTCTTTGCACAATGAGGCGATACCTTCATTCAAAAATGCTCCCATGTAGCACCTAGACACCAGCTCACATGGGACATTGTTTGAAATCAGAAACTGTCAGTTTGGGGGTAAGGTTCAATTTAAAAACACCCTCAAGGATGGGTTTCAAGTTAAGACAAACTCTTGATCTTCTTTTATCATTAGCCGAAAGAAACCCAGCCCTTTAACAAGACGAGAGATCTTCTGACAGAAAAGACTGTGTTTAACTGGAATGGAGGGAGTCGGAGAAGTTCCCCACACACACGGGAGTGCCAGAAGCACTGGAGTGTCACTAACGAATGCTAAATAGAAGTGTTGAGTCGTTTGCTATGCGGAGAGGATTCAGAAATAAGAGTGGAAATCAGTGCGGGCTCATTTCATGAGCAGTGGGCCTAACAACTCCCACTGCTTAGAAATCCTCTGTAAAGAGCGCAGGCCTGGGTTGCCTGCTCCAGTTGTGGCCATCTGGACCCAGCAAGGAAATAAGCCTGCTCTTCTCCGTGGATTCTTGAATAACCAGGAATACCAAGAATAGCATCTAAACACTAAGGTTACCCTGATTCCATTTTGGTCAGATGTCACTCACCACTACATACTTTGATTTTCTTGTGTGTCCTACCAAAAAATGTAGTCAAAATGTATACAATACTTAAACGAATGGGAGATGCCAAAATAATTCCCATAGCCTCACAGTTTCTTTCTGTGGAAGTAGTTCATGAACTTTAGCGACAATTTTCAGTGCAGAAACATCTTAATGCAAAAGATCACCAACTACACCATAGCTGAAATATCACAGACAAAACAAATGAAGTGCTGAAATGTCACCTGCGGTCTCTCCCCCGTGGCTATGATATATACCTTCTAAATCTAGGATACACATTGAATTATTACCCACCAGCGTCATATACATAAATACCCCTACAAAAGAAAACACTAACCATTTTAACAGTTTGCTTCAAACTTTAATGATCTGCAGATGGCATCTAGATCCTAAAATGTATGGAAGGATGCTTTGCGGCTCTTCCTAAATATAAATAATGCATCCATCTAATTCACGAATGGCAAAGGCCCATCCTATTCCTGATGAATACGCTTATCACCCATGACTGCCAGTGAAAGTTATAAGGATATGCTATAATAAAACATGGCGCCCCTGTGTACGAATCATGGGAAGTAATCCACTGCATAAAAAACAATCATTAACTTGCAGTTACTGCCCCAGTTACTATGGTGCTGAAGAATACTTATAGATTGAAAAATACCTATAGATTGAGACCGATAAAGTTATATTTCTCATTGATCCAGGAAGAAATTTTTAAGAATACTGTATTTCAGAAGAGACAATGAGGGCAAAACTGTGTTGTATGAGTGTGTGTGTGTCTGTGTGTGCATGCATGTGTGTGCCTATGTGTGTGTGTGTGTGCCTTTGTGTATGCCTGTGTGTGTGTGTGTCTTTGTGTGTGCCTGTGTCTATGTGTGTACCTATATGTGTGGTGTGTGTGTATGTGTGTGTGTGTGTGCCTGTATGTGTGTGGTGTGGTATGTACGTGTATGTGTGTCTATATGTGTGCCTTATTGTGGTGTGTGTGTGCGCACGTGTGCACACGTACGCACCAGAAGAGAATATCATGTGTCCTCGTAAATCCCTGTCTGCCTTATTCCTTCCCTTTAAGCCAGAGTCTCTCACTGAACACGGACCAAAACGGGAAACCATGAGCCCTAGCAAATCCTCTGTTGCTCGCCACTCCCACAGCACTGGCGTTGCAGGTGTGCACGCATCTACACCTAGCTTTTCACGTTAATGATGTAAGCCAAACCCAGGTCCTCACGCTTGCACGGGAAGCATCCTCACCCACTGAGCCATCTCTCCAACCCAGACCTTCTATCACGATACAAGAAACACGGAAGAAATTGAGCAGTCACTCGCTTGGAGATGGTGTGGCAAATGTGTAGTCAACATATCTGAGCAGACAGGAGCCCGAAAGCACCCAGGTGTTTTTATAAAAACCTTAGGAAACAGAACCGCCAATGACAGCAGAAGTGTTTTATTTTAGAATATATGGTGTTTCGTTTTCCTTAAGTTTAAATTTCACACTGCATTCCTTCTTTTTTTTTTGACTTTTTATCAATTCTTTGTGGAATTCATGCCAATCCCATACATCTCCCCTTACCCTCGCTTCTGCCTTCTGCCCTTGTAACATCCCACTCCCCGCCAAACAAAATTTAAAAGTAAAATCATAAAAAACAATCCAAACCAAACAAACAAAAGTCTTGGTGTGGAAGCTGCTGTGTGGTCCAGAGAGTCACACCGTACGCTCTTTAGTTCCTACGTCTTTCCCTGTAAATTCTTTGCGGTGAGTTTTGCCTGGTTCCAGGTCTCTGACTTTTGCTGCACTATTGATCCTGGGCCCTCACAGGGGCTCCCTTGGCTAGCCTACTGTTGCCGTGTGTCATGGAGATCCTGCAGCTTTGGATCTGCAGGTCGGATCCCTTCGCACACTCCAGCAGTTGGAACTACAGTGGATGCTGGGCTGGGCTAACTCAGAGCCCTGGTTGGGAGTCTGGATTGGTCACCCCACTAGCTTTCCCTCCCCACCTGGGTGAGATTTCCAACACAGACAGCAGGGAGCGGGAGCTGGGCCAGTTCTCCTGCTCACACAACCCTGGGTCCTGCTTCCCTGCACTCACACCCCAGGGCCAGCGCTACTGCTTTGCCCAAGCGAGGTGTAGGACCGTATGGGTTGAAATAAATAGATGTGACTATCTATACAAGCGATTCTAGAACAATCTCCAGTTGCATTATTGTGGCAATGAAAATTTATGGGTGCAAAAAGAAAAAAAACCTCTCACACTCACAATATATTATAAAAATGCCTGACAGAATGCATTTGTTGAAATCTGCATTTGGTCTAGAAACTATTTAACAATTGAACACAGCCATACTTTAACTTAGCCCTCATGTTGAGAAGTAGCGAGGCATTTGAGCAATTCGCTCTCAGAGAAGTTATGCTTTGAAACTGAAAAAAATCAAGAATCTCTTCTTGGATTATTTTTATGATCAATGTACAGGCTCTGTGCAGGGAGCGTTAAAGCTATCTGACAACTCGTGGCCACATCGCTGGCTGTTAAAGAGGTAGGAAATTGCATAAAAGCCCGAAAAAGCTCTGGGTAATTTTGCAGTTTCCTCTCTAAATATAATTGTGAAGACGTCTGTCTTTCAATTCTCTCTCCCTCTTTCCTCAGTAGCATGGCCTTTTAGTCCTTGCCCTTTTCAATAGCTTCGCCGACTGGAGCTTTGCTTGTTAATGTGCCAGTTGATCTTATCCAGCACAGAGGGTATTTACAGGGGTGCTTGCTTTTATCTCTATTCGCAGAGAACGCTAACAAATTAGAAGAAAGCGTCAGAGAACACCACATACCTTGCCCAGAACATTACAATGGTTTCTGCATGCACGGGAAGTGTGAACATTCCATCAACATGCAGGAGCCATCTTGCAGGTAATATTTTCTTGGTTAAACTTTTCAAAAGCATAAAGTTGAAATGTAGAAACTAGCTTGTAAGTGTTAGCGGAACATTGGTGTACATTCTGCTTAAACAGGGGAACAATATTAAAGTCTCTGTCTCTCCTACACACACACACACACACACACACACACACACACACAGAGTGATGAAGAGATGTGTGTAAACCTTATACACTCAGTGTACAGCACACCACTCTGTTCTTGCAGTATAATTTTAGTGGCATGGACCACTTTCTGCTCACCATCTTTCCCTCTGAATATAGAGCTGAGATTGGTACTCCTCCCTTAGTATTTCGGGGGAGGTTATTTCCAAAACACTCCAGATCATCTATGAACTATGTAATTTTGCTGGCCACTCACTTTCTTTTCTGCAAAGCCTAGGATCATGAGACGATTGGCCGCTATGCCTCCAGTTCAAGCTCCGAAGAGCCAGAAAGAAATTGCTTGTCTGGGTTTAGTTTATAAATACAGTTTATAAATATCGACTTGTGTCTGGAACATACAGAGATTATTTCTGAGATGTCAAATTAAAATAAAAACATATTTATATTTAAATTAATATACACTGGCATATGAAGAAATAAAGAAACAACACTGCTTGGGTCTCTTTCTCCACCTGCCCCTCTGTCTCTGCTTCTCTTTGTCTGTCTGTCTCCCTCTGCCTGTCCGTCACCCACAGCTGCCTCCCATACCTGTTTCCTTTCACAGAATACCCTGGGACATGCCTGTTCTTCAACAGACAGAGTGGACACGACACAGAGAGTTCTGCTGTCCCTCCCTCTGCAGCAGTTATTAAATTACACCCTCCAGAGACCCGTGAAAAAGTCCTCAGGATGTAGTTGCAAGAAATTCACGGTCACGTGCTAAAGGCTTTTCACAAAGCAATGGCATATTGATCCAAATTAGCATGCTTTGATATCAAATGCTTATTTCAACATGTTATTGCCTATCTGAACTTTTGGTTGGGAGGCTGAGTGAGTGAGAAGCAAGATCTATCCTAACAGCTGCTCACACTGCTTGTTTGTATACCTGTATTGCCTGCACCGAGATTTTTCTCTTCAAAATATTTGAAGAGGATTACAAGAGCATTTCTCCGTTCAAAACTAAGGCCCTTATGACGTTATGGCCATCCAGTTTAAGAAATTACTCCTGCTGTATCTCATACTCAGTATTTTTTTCAGAATTTCCCTGGCATAGAACAGGTCTAAAACAAACAGCCGGATAGTGTTTGCACTGTGTCGTTAAGCAGTCCATAACCACGTTAACCGAGGTTAATGGCACAAATTAAGAGTACAGAGTTCTGGGCAACGGGTGACCAGATCCTGTGCTTCCTTCCAGATGTGATGCTGGCTACACTGGCCAGCACTGTGAGAAAAAGGACTACAGCGTCCTCTACGTCGTGCCCGGCCCCGTCCGATTTCAGTACGTCTTGATTGCAGCGGTGATCGGAACGGTTCAGATTGCTGTCATCTGTGTGGTGGTCCTCTGTATCACAAGGTCAGTAACTGGACTTGGGCATCACCCAGGCTGAGGGCAGCGCTAGTCCCTCCCTTTGACTCCGAGTCTCGTGGCGGACTGAGTATAGCCGTCTATTCTCCGCGAGTCTTAGCTCCGCCCAGTGAGAGCATTTCAATAGCCATGTGATCTCCGTGAGTCTTAGCTCCGCCCAGTGAGAGCATTTCAATAGCCACGTGAAAAGGCATGTGTTTCCCTGTAGGACAGGCACAACTTATATTACTCATTTTTATATTAAGATGAGTATTGTTTATGTCCTAAGACTATTTTCCTCTCTAACATAGAATGCCCACATCTCTTTAAACACTCTTTTCTCTGTAAAAGGCCACTTTTCATTCAAATTATGAAGCACTAACTTTACCTACCAGAATCGCTATGCCCAAAGTGATAATAGATGTTATATAAGGTGTAGAAATGCTTCCATTCTAGCCCTCATTAATAACATCTTAGTTCCAAGTAGAACATTTGGACGCCATCAGTGTTAACACACTTGGTGTCAACAACAAATACCTTTTAACTTTAACATGGCAAGTGCTAATCGCAGTGATTTAAATGTAATGGGAAAGATTGTGTTCTCCTAAATGAAAACCTTCTATATATTTTCGAAAGAGCAGCAAATATCATAGCTTAATAGCAAATTCCAAGCCCAGAAAAAAGGTAATTTTTATTTGAACAGGGATGAGATCACAAGAGAATAGAGATTTCATCCAGTTTCAACAGGAAATTGAACCATGATTCCTGAGTGATAGCTAAGGTTCAGTTTGAGACAAGGAGCAAAGTCGGGGATTTGTTTGACCTCTTGAGTGTGTAAACGCGTGGTTGGCAAGAACTAGACTCCAAACCCAATGCATCATTTATGTCTCATGGCAGCCAAAAGGCCAGTGTAGATCCGTTTAAAAAAAAAACAAAACTGAATTTACTCTCTTTTTTAAAATGTCCAGAGTAACTCTTTGAGGTTTTTTTTTTTTTATCACATCTATAAGCCATGAAGACTTTCATTCACTTATACAGTTCTATAGTAAATCAGAGAATTTCCCCCAAACTTATTTCAGAAAATGGGAAAATAAGAAGCGTTATGAAATTAAAACATGAAGACTGTAATGCGCCTTGGTATCTGTATGATGCCACCTTCTCTGAAGACAAGTGTGGGATCCGCTCTTTGAAAAGAGAAAGTGTAGCTCATCAATCCTCACCTGGCCTACAGGCATAAGGGGAGATCATCACTGGCGCTTGGGGCGGCCCTAAGCCAAGTTGAGTTCATCGTCCTGTCTCTCGGGTTTAGACGCCAAGTGAGCCAGTGGGTTATACGAAAAGAAGTGCAGCTGACGTAGAACCAACTTGAAAACCAAACGTACTGAGCGCAAAATGAAAAGATAAAGAAGAATCTAAGACACAGAAAACTGTTTCAGACCTCCCTAAGGGCACATAGAAACACAAAGCTTGTATAAATCAATGACAACTTGATTGCTGCCCCGTAGAGTGGAGAAACTCAGAATTCCAATACTTAAACATGTCTCCAACTAAGCTATTGATCCCAGTTTTCATTCCTAAGCATAACTTAAAAGTGGAACATAGAGACTATTTTACCAGGATTTTGTCTTTAGATGGTATAATTTGGTCGCATGTTTATATATTCCCTTGTCTGAGTGCACGAATGCACGTGTACACATACTTCATGACCTTACAAAGAAAAAAGAAAAAAAGAACAGTTATCCTCACTATCACAGCGGAGACCCTGAAATGTGAGATGTCATCACATACTGAGATTACGCAGCTGAGTCACGAACTCAAAATGCTGTCCAGCCTGTCTACTGCTTTAACTTTGCACTTAATGTCGCCCCTCTGCTCCAAGCTGCTCCTAGCTTTGCGTGGGCTTCTGTCACGGACTAAGTTCCCAGTTTGAGTAAGCTATGTCTGTTATATTTTCAATGAATATGTCTTTTTTTTCCTCTTATTTTCCATGCAAGACGAAGCAAAATCAAATAAAATAAAACAAACAATAAATAAATTAAAAAAACATACTCTGTATTCGATTTAGGGGAAGAAAAATAGTACATCAGCCATGCCTGCTTTGCTATCGTGCATTATCTAACTCTCCCCCTTGTGCAGTCAAAAGTTTGAAACACAATCCAGGAAAAGTCTGAATCCATATGTCACGCCACTGTCCAGGGTAGACTCATCCCATTCATTAAAAGACAGTGTGCTTACAAACCAGACTCCCTAACTGGGCCCACCACTGACCCCAAGAAACCCTGCTTGCCTGGTGACCTGGCAAGCCTTGTTTGTCGAGGCCTATGCCAAAGTGCCCAGATGCGAGAGAGTTTACAGAAAAATCCCTAGCGGAGATGCCCCAATTGTCCTCAATTTTCTCTTAATGCTGGTCTCATCTGGTCTGTTCTTTGTTCTGACTTCCTGTTCTTTCTCTCCTGTCCTACCCACTTCCACCCATATCTGTTTCTTTTTTTTTTCTGTCTACTCAAGAACCTGCCTCCTGAGCAATATCTCATAAAAATATGAATATCTAGAGACCTGTTCCCAAGTGAAAAGACTTGTCCCATTGAGACGGTGGACTGTCATCTTTTTTACTTTCATCTCCCCCTTGTCGAAAATGTGACTTCTCAGATCCATGTTTGTTTTTGACAGATATATGGCCCCAGCAACCGCACAAAAATGGGCCCACACCTACTATGTATGTGTGTGCACGTGTATGTATGTCTATCTACATATTTTCCACTGTACCACCTGTAGATGTAATAGAGTTTGTTAGTCTTATATTGTTCTTGCTTGCATGATCAAAGAAGTCTGTTATTATAATTAAAAAAATACTAGATCAGCGAGTTTCAGATGTTACTGAATATTAGTTTTTCGTAGAAGCAACATAATTGGTACCAATTTTTGTCTCGAGTTTTATAACATTAATGCAGTACAATGATATTAGGCTAAACCAAAGCAATATTCCTTTGCATTTACATATCGGGTGTTATCAGCTGGTTTGTTCCAATGTGATAGGATCTTACCTTATTTAGAGCCCTGAAATGTCAATATAACACTCATCGTTAAGACATTTAGATATAAAGTTGTTGAAGACATTTAAAGAGAGATGTGATAAGCTTGGGATTTGCTTGTTGGCCTTGTGCTGAGTCTTGTCATTGCCCAATGTAACAAACATACTTAAGGAATGAACAGTGAAGGGCGGGGTATTTCTCTTCAGCTTCTGCTTCTGTTCTTCCGTTCTCAACAGCAGCCTAAAAACAACTGCAAAGAGAAGCAAAGAATAATAATAATGATTGCAATAATACTACCACTAATAATAATAACTTTTACAAGTATTCCAAGGTTCTACTAGTGATCAGTATATTTTTACTCTGAAATACGTGACTAATTGGCCTCTCCAGCCTCGCTCGTTGACGGTAGGACCGACCTTTCGGTGATCGCATTAGACTAAGATCTGTGAACTTTCCAACCTTCTAGGAAATGCCCCCGAAGCAACAGAATTCACAGACAGAAGCAAAATACAGGGCACTACAGTTCAGACAACACAACGAGAGCATCCACAAGGTTAATCTAGAGGGAGCATGTTTCCCAGCGGCCGGACAACGGACAGCTTTGGACTACACAATACAGTATTAGAGACAAAAGAATAAGACGAGATCTACACATGTTGCCTTGCGTTTGTGGTAATCTACACCAATGAAAACATGTACTACAGCTATATTTGATTATGTACGGATATATTTGAAATAGTATACATTGTCTTGATGTTTTTTCTGTAATGTAAATAAACTATTTATATCAATCACACAATATAGTTTTTTCTTTCCCATGTATTTGTTATATATAATTAATACTCAGTGATGAGGAAACAAAAAGGCATTCTGAAATTTGCAGTGATTTGTAGCTGGAACCCCTGTCCAGCCGGCACAGGCTGTGCAGACAGCAGGATTTCATCCCCTGTGCAGCTTCAGACAGCACATTCGTGGGCACAGAACTCTGGAGCTAGGTGTTGAGTGATTCCAAGACCAAGGGAAACGATGGTTATTGGAAAGAGAAAAAATAATTTACTGTATCAAAGAAGCATAAAAGATGTCAGATACTGGGATCCTTTCTGCTTCGTCTACTTTCTTCCCTGTCTTTCGCTTTCCTTCTCAGAAAAGAAAAATATCTGGCATATAAATTAAATAAGTGAAGAAGGGAGGGTAAGTGTTTTATGACCCAGAATAGAATGCAAAGAAGATACTTGTCTTTATTGGGAGGCAGCCTAGCTCTCTTCCGTCAACTACATCTGCCCTCGGGGATCTGAGTAAGGCATACCTTAGGTATATAAACAGTGGCCAAACCTGTTCTGCTTCTGTGAGCAGAAGTAGCAACTAGGAAGAAACTATAACTGCCTCAGTAGGTGTGAGCCCAAATCTCAGTTTCCGAGATGAGCCATGCTGCGTGCTTTAGTCCCAGCACTTGGGAGGCAAGGGCCGGCAAACCTCTGTGAGTTCGAGGCCAGCCTAGCCCACAGAGCTAGTTCTAGGACAGTTGAGATTTCACACATGCACGCACGCGCGCACACACACATACACACAGACACACACACACACACCTGTCTCACAGAAAGTTAAAGAAAACTTCTGTTGTGCTTCTGTCTTCTGTGAAAAGAAGCTAGACTTGCAAAAGACAAACGCTCTCGTGCGCATTTATGCTCTTAGGGCCCAAAGAGCACTGTGGTTTGAAACTGAAAACTGAAAGACAATGTTTCATGACAATGGAGAAAAATGTTTTGGGCATATTTATGTAAGAAAATCCCTGAGACTCTAAGGAGCCTAGCAGGGGCTGTTGCCAACCTATGTCAGATATGAGCAGACGGTGATAAGCCATCACTCTGTTTGGGGGGGGACATAAACTATGAAAATGTTCAACGACTAAGATGAAATATCAAATTAAATAATTCCCTTATTATCGGTTACCTTTGAGTAGTTCTTGTAGCACATACGGGTGATTTAAATAAAGCTTTGTCTTCCTCAAATGACTTCTTCATGAGCGAGAAGAGATGGCATCCCCTCCTTTGCTAGAAAACAAAAGACACGCCAAATCAAAACGGTCTGGGTATAAAACAGAAAAATAAGGGTTTCAAGTGAAGCTTAAGGCATTTGTTAACATATAAGAAAGGTGACAATCTATGTAAGACCTGGGGCTTTGAAAAAATGTGGTTTTCTAGATTGTCATAAGCTTGGGAAATGTGACTTTATTGACACAGCCGTCACTCAAGTGTCCCTATGAAATCACTCCTCTTGACACCTGCATACGACATATCCCTGCCAAGCTGCCTGGAAGGTTCATTTGTTCAGCATACAGAGGTGGAAGTAGCCCTAGTTTCCTTTGTATGTCAGTAGTTGCGGTAAATAACCCCTTCCTTCTCCCTAAAGAAGAGAGCAAGAATGTACCACCCATGGCGGCATATCTGTTCGAAGAAACTCTTCCACTCACTTTTGGTTACAAGTACACGCAATTACTGACTTTGTAGTAAGCTTATGCATCATTACATGCAAATTTTTATCAGCGATCATAAACCTCAGTATTGGGAGAAGTCCCTTATAGCTTTCCTCCCACATCCGTGCTCACCTACATAATGAATCCTAAATGTGTTCTTTTAGTTCCTGGGGCAATACAAATAAAACGTGGTGTCTGATCCACAGGAGCTCACAGTCCAGTACCAGCAGAATCTGCTGGCCTCTCCTAACTCATCTCTCATTCTTCGCCATTTGATTCCTGTACCATTCTAGTTTTCTAGATCTTTCCCCCTCACAGCGGGTCAGAGCTCAGCTGTCTGCAGTCTCTCTCAGCTTGATTCTCGCTGCTCCTCTCTAAGGCGAAGGAACAATGCTGTGTATTTAAACTATAAAGACAGAAACAAGGTTTTTTATCCACGCCAGAACTCTACACTTATTTTCTTCTCCAAGCAAACACCCGGAATTCCCTCTTCCGCTCTTTTCGCGACACCATCCTGCTTTCTCCCGGCATCCACTTCGTTTGCTCTTGACTGAACCTGCACGCTACTTAGTCAGAAGGCCCGCTGAAGCATGGAGCTTACATGGCCCAGTCTAATAAAGAAAGGCGATCTCATCTGTCCAATATAACCAAACAGCTTGCAGAAAGTAATTGTAAGAGCCACCTCCCCTGTTTTGTTAAATTCCTCCTGGGCCCCCAGTGCTACAGGGAGCCCTGAGCCAAACACTTCATATCTTTGAACTGAATTCTGCCATATATTTGTCAACCCATCTCCTTAATCCTAAGCGTGTGCATATTCCGAAAAAGGGACTTTATTTTTACTACTGTTATCAAAGAGACATTAACTATTATGGTTGCTTACTATAAACATCAATTCAAATGGCTTTTAAATAAATACCTAAAGATCCCCTTCAGTATACATTTACAACAGATTCTGGATTTACTGAGGGTCAGAAATGGCAAGCCCTCTTCTATGCTGTGAGGGGACAATGGAAAAGTCTCGAAAGAAACCCTTACCTGAAAGGAACTCACTACCAAGCCATCTTGGATCCTTGACTTACAGTTCTCAGAGATGCAAGGGGGAGTCTGAGGTAAAGGAAGGATAACACAGAAGGTAACAAAGACTGTCCTTCCGGTCATTGCGTAGTGATTGGGAATCCTGACCTCCAGGATGTCCTCCGGACCTTTCCACAATGACATACACAGAATGGTTTCACTCCCGTCACCATTCAAAGGGTCTTACTTCTGCCGTTTTGTACCCTCCACGCCATCCTCACACCCCTGTCTTTACAACGCTCAGGGAAAGTAACAGATTCTCACAGAAGCCCCCGTGAACACCAGCCCATCTCCTGATCATGTTGAGGGACTTTCCGTGCTGGGTCACTTTTATCCATGCAAGTCAGTCTTTCTCGTAGCCTAACAGTGATGTGAATCGAAGGATCCAAGGCTCGCTAACGTTTTTCACTTATTCTACAAGCATTTACTCGGTCTCTATCCAATGCCTGATACTATTCTTGACCGGTGGGACAGCATGGGGTAGGAACAGATCTCTACTTTCAGAGGAGGTGAAGGTGAGTGACAGACAAGGATTTATCAAGCCACAAAATAAAATAAAATAAAATAAAATAACCTTTAAGTTCTGCTTAAAGAATTTAAAAGGAGTGAGCTATTTCAGGACGTGGCTTCAAACTGAGTATAATATCGAGAATTCAGCTTCTGAAATGAGGCAGATGTGAGTCCAGGCTTAAGGCCTCCTTTATTACCTACTTAGCCTTGGGCAATTTGCCCAAGTTCCCTATGGCTCCTGTTTAAAATGGAGAAAGCAGCATCTTCCCGCACACAACGTAACGACTAAGAGAAATAGCAGCAATCGATGTTTGGGGGCTCGGAACACTGGCGTGCACAGAGTACCATGGAAATACATGGAAATCCTTCGTAGGGCCATGATAAATATTTATGGTAACAGTAAACAGTTCCAATAAAGCATATTTTATCAGCAGAGCTATCCATGGTGGGAATCACACAGTCCGAGTTAGACAAAGTCCAGCCATCATAGTCACTCAGAGGAGGGCTTCTTGTGTCTTTGGTTTTAGTTCTGGGAAACGAAGGCGATAAAGGGATCAAAGATCAAAAAGACTCCAACTCAAATTTCCCCCAAATTCATCCATTAGTATCATGTCTGAAAAGGCTGGTGGTGGGGGCGGGGAGAACATCATTCTTTTCCTTAAGATCCTGATAATGCGTGTAGCATCGAGTCTGTTGTGTTTTAGGACCAGGATGAGTCAGTCCTGTTCTGGCTGATCCTCACAGAGAAGCCAGTGCAGAGAATTGAACTATGACAAGGTTTATCTCAAAGTCACATTAGACCTTGCTAATGTTTGTCCTCGGGATGCTGTTTCCATTTGCCAAGTCAGGCCGCACCTGTATAGACTGCTCTTCCTCAATTACAGGAGACATTTCACTTACATAATTAATCATCTGGATATCAATAATGAAAGCTTCTTCATTGAATTAATTGATATCTCTATATGAGCATCCACAGGAAGCACCCATAAAAGACAGAGGAAGGATGAAGGGTTATATGAAGTAATGGGATTAGTTTTATAACCAGAACATAAATCTATGACTGAACATGGCCCTCTGAAGGCAACATCAGAACGTATATAAGATGTGCTGATATCCAGTCTCACCATGGTTGGAAATCTGCATCACTGGTCCAGCTATTCTAGGGATACAACCTAGGTTGAGCTCCATGAATGGTATATGGGCTAACTTGAGTATCTTGTATACTTAAAGGTTTTCAGTAAGTTGTCGTTACTAACCCTCCATGAGGTAAGAAGTGAAAGAAACAGCATTTGCCTTTGTGTTCCTAGTCCAGAAAGGGCAAAATCGTACATGAGCTAACAGAACAAAATCAGTGACTGGGGGTGGGGCGGAGGAACAAAAGGACATGTTGTAGTAGACCAGGTCCTGTGCTGAGCCTTCCTGATCCAGTAAAGGCACTGGCTCCACACAAGGCGTGAGCACCATAGCCACCCTGACAAAAGAGCTCCCAGGACCCCCACAATCAACCCCATTCTTTGGGGTATATTTTGAGATGACTGCATGCCCTTCCACCCCATGGACATCTCCTCTCGGCGGACTTCCTCTCATTCTCAGAATGGTAACCTCCTCTCTTTTGTGCACGGCAGGAAGCATGCATTCTTTGTTGCAGCACTTTGAGGCACAGTCCAGCTTAGTTCTCCTCCATGGGCTTAGACACAGAGAATAGGAGTCTTTTATCGGAGTCCGGCTGTTCATGAACACAAAGCACAGAGCAATGCCCCAGATTGTCATCGCTGTATTATCAGGTAATTTAATAAATATATTAAGAAAGAAAACTTAATTGATGCTTGAGATGAGAATATGTAGCTAAACCCAAACAAAAACATAATCATATAAAGGCCAAGAGAAAATATCAATGTATTTGTGGATATCATTGAATATCATTTATGATAATTTTTATGAATTTCTCTATATATATTCAAACGTGAACACAACACAAAATTTAATAGCAGGTTTGAGGATCCAACTTCAGTTCTTAGAGAATATGTATAAAAGAGGCAGGTGTTATGGCATGTACTTGTAATCCCAGTGCTGGGGATATAAGGACAGGCAGATCCCTGGGATATACTGGTCACCCAGCCTATCCTACTTGCTAAAAATAGTAGAAGATAGATAGATAGATAGATAGATAGATAGATAGATAGATAGATAG